ACCCATATCATATAGTTTCCAGACCTAAAGTCACTCCTAAATAATGGTTATTGTCAATAACATGAATAGCAAAATTCTGAAGAATTCAGACTTGCAGTAGGAATATCAGATAGTAAGCTGGAAGTTCTGTTGAAACTTTTTGGAACAGAGGTATATGTTTGTGTGCTTTGAATAAATTGGGATATTCAAACTGTTATTGTTAATGTGTTTTAAGTGCTGTCAAATACCTTGGATAAGGTGAATTAGAGACCTGTTGGTTCTATGTGTTAATGTGAAACCCTCAAGAGCTCTTATTAGCTCTCTTGTATGTTATTTATAGTGTTTAGGGATACAAAAGAATTTGTCCCTAATTAATATGGGACTAAACAATAAAGGAGTAAACAACTCTCTCAACACTCCCCCTGAGCAACAAAACCTGGTGGTTGCTCCATGTAAACCTCCTATTCAAGAATGTCATTAAGGAATGCATTCTTAACATCCAATTGATGTGATGGCTAGTAATAGCGAACGGTAAACGAAATAAGATGCGAACATATGTCATTTTAGCTATAGGAGAGAATGTATCAATATAATCAAGGTCATAGATCTGTGAATATCCCTTTGCAACTAGTCGAGCTTTGAGGCGAGCTAGAGAGCCATCTGGATTTACTTCGATAGTATAAACTCATATGCAGCCAATCGCTTTCTTCCCTGATGGTAGTGTAACAAGATCCTAAGTCTCATTCTGATCTAAGGTCATCATCTCTTTTTTCATTGTCGTCGTCCAACTTCTGACAAATTCTTGAAAATTGGGTGAGAATCCAAAGAAGATATGAAAGAATAATATGATGGAAATAACGACGAGTAGGAGACAGTGTGTAAGAGGATACTAAGAACTCCAAGAACAAAATCTTTTACCCTTTACGAAGGGCGATAGGAAGATCATTAGTAGGCTAAGCACTTGCTGCACAGTCACATTTTGACTTGCTAGTATATCAGACACTTGGGTGGATTTGGACAATGGTGGAAGTTGTAGATCAATACGTCTTGTACAAACCTGAACTGGTTCTGCAAATTTGGATGGTGGATCAGTTTGTACAGCAGTCCAGTGGTTTCCCGATAATAAGATAGTCATAATCATCGGGAGGGTCTAAGGATTTATCAAAAGCAATATGTTTTGAATTATTCTCAAAGGACATAACATTAGCTGAATATATCGATTTAAGGACGAACAATAACATATGTACTCTTTTGAGCCCTAGAATATCTAGGAAAAATGCTTTTTTAAGAGATTTTGCATCTAATTTCGTCCATTGAGAACTATGATTGTGAATAAAGTATATAGACCCAAAGATCTTAGGAGGTTAATGAAAAGCGTCTTCAACTAGATATAAAAGGGAGATCAGAATTTTATTTCTTATAAGATAGATGAAGGTAATCTATTGATCGGGTAGTAGGTTGTAAAAATGGATTCCCTAAAAAATATTTTTAAATTTGACGATGGAATAACAAGGTCCTAGCAATTTCTAGCAGGTGTCTGTTCTTGCATTTAGTCACCCCGTTTTTTTGGAGTGTGCAAGTACAAGAAGCCTAATATAAAAATTTTATTTCTTTCAAATATTTTATGGAAGAGCTTTCAAAATATTCCTTAGCATTATTTGTATTTAAAGTTTTAATGATATTATGAAATTGATTTTTAACATTCACAAAAAACTTTAAAAATGGAGAACACTTCGAAACAAGTTTTCAACAAATAAATTCAAGTCATATGAGAAAAGTCATCCACAAAACTAACAAAATATTGAAAACCATTTGGATGTAACAGAACAAGGACCCCATATGTCAGAGTGCACTAAATCGAACGGGTTACGAACCCTCTTATTGACGTGACTTAGGTAAGACACCCGTTGGTGTTTTCGATTTGAAATGACTCACAATCTAAGGATTAAACATGATTCAAATATAAAATCAACGTTTCTAAAAATCGAAAGAGGAGGATGACCAAGCCGACAATGTGCTTCAAAGGCTAATGTGAAGCTGATACATGCCACTTGGGAAGGGGAAAAGTCCAGCTCGTACAAGTTGTTCCACTCACGTCCAGTACCAATCATCTTTCTGGTCCAAGTGTCTGAAAAATACAATGTGTAGGAAAAAAAATATTACCATGCAGTTTAATGCTTTAGTCATCCTACTGACAGATAAGAGTTCAAATGAAAAATGAGGAGGATATAGCACAGATAAAAATAAAATAGTACCAATATTGGTAGATATGACACCCGTAACATGTGTATTGGATCCACCATCCAATATTATGGAAGAAAAGGAGGTAGTAGATGTGCACGAGGATAATATACCTCAGTGCCTAGTCATTATGATCAGTTGCTTCTGAATTGATAACCTAAATTTAAGACGATGATTATGTAAGGTAAGTAGTGGGTTTACCTGACTGGGCAAGCGTAGTTGTAGTATGAGAGAATTCTGTCTTTTTAAATTATTAAAATAACTAGAGCTAAAATTGCTCAAGCTGGCAGCATATGTCTTCATCTATGAGACTCCCCTGTGTTGCCACATGTGCACTATGAGGTTGTTTTCCCTGTAGCCGGGGATAATGGAATTTCGTGACCCGGCTCCTTACAGTAATGATGATGGATAGAGTAACCAGATGAACCCTTCCCTGTAACTCCTTGTGAACTATCACCTCGTCCTCCACGTACTCCAAAGCATCCTCCACGTCCACCAAAGCAACCTCTACTACGACCACTCCCTCGACTAGTTGTATGTCTACTCTATGTGGCAAGAGCAGACCTGTTTGCAGAATTTCCTGTAGTACTTACCAGCATAGCTGACACTGCTAATCTCAAAAAATAATGTCTCTGCTAAAGAACGTATAACTGAGCTCTCAATAACCTGTCATCTGGTTGAATTATAAGAATGTAGAAGAGAATCAAGAAAGTGAATATCATCAGTTGATCCCATTAGTCTTGCATCTTTTGAACATCCACCGTAATGAGGAATATTTGTCTCAGCTCCACTACGAGACGATTGAAGTTGTCATATTGCTCCTCAAAAGTTTGACTATGCTCGTACATCTTGCTCTGAAATAACCTCATGAATTGCATCATACGCTCGATTGGCGTGTCCACTACTTGAGTACAATTGCTTCAAGAGCTTCCACACCTGTTTCATTATATTACAGTGAATTGCTAGCTGAAGAACCCGCGGTTCCATGCTGTTTTAAATTTTTGATGAAGTACACTAGTGTTATCTTATTTTCAGGAGGAGGTAATTGGTATGGGATGGTCATTTGTAAGATGATGACCCTTTCCCTGACCTGAAACATAAACTCAAATCAATGATTTTCAAAGTAGATGATTGGACCCATTTAATTTCTAGTCAGTGACCTTGCTACAGAGCACCTCCGTGTGGGTCTTCATCTCAACTTTCTCGTCCACCTAAATAGTAGAATCACTGGAAGACGCCATCAACATAGCAAATAAGATCGTTCAACTAATAATATTTTGGCAAATAACTATCAAGAAATCATCAATACATAGTCACCAAGTAATCAATCTATAACAAGTAATCACCATAAGTAATCAATCTACCAAGACATCCTATAAAGTTGGTTTCTTCGAGAGAATGACTTATCGATTATCTCAAAGAGATTGTTAATGTCTCATTGTAAGGTGACGCTAAAATGATTAGCTTGATCGAATTGGTTTAGCTAAATGATTGGCTTAAGATTTAGGAAGATTTAATTGGTTAAGGTAAATGATTGGCTAAAAATCTATGAAGATTTAGTTGATAAGACAAATAATTAGCTTAAGATCTATGAAGATCTAATTGGTTGAGTCAAATGATTAACTTAACAAATTTTTATTTTTTTATCGGATCTGATCGGGGGAAGATAAACAATACGATAGATGAACAATATTCTGATAAATAGTGCCCAAGGTAGATAAACAGTAGCTTTGTATTGTTTTGGGTCATGTCTGATATGGGGAAGATGAGTAGTGTCCCTGATGAACAGTATCCGCAGCTAGTGAACAGTGTCTCTGAACAGTGGAGTGGTGGCGACTAGGGTTGTTGGCTGAGGGTGGAGAGTTAGAGAGTTTGATGGTGGTGGGTGCTGGCTATGGTTCGAGAGAGGTAGAGGGTGGTGCCTAGGGTTAGGGAGGGTGGCAGCTGGGTTTGGGAGGGTGGCGACTAGGGTTGGGGAGGGGTAGAACGTGGTGGCTAGAGTTTGAGCGGGTGGCGGTTAGGGTTTAGAAAATTGGAGAGATGAGAGAGGGTGGCTCGGATACTATGTTAATGTGAAATTTTCTAGGGGGCTGTTTGTTTGCATAAGGGGGAAGGGGAAAGCCTGCAAAAAGTGTCAGTTTTGGCAGGCTTTCTTGCAAAGAGGCGTTTTCGCAAGAAAGCTTGCCAAAACTGACACTTTTGGTAGGCTTTCAACCCATTTCCCCCTCTAAAAGAGGCAACCAAACGCGCCCTAGAGCTCTTACTAGCTTTTTGGATGTTATTTATTGTGTTTAGGGATACAAAAGAGTTTGTCCTTAACCAATGTATGACTAAGCAACAAAGGAGTAAAACAACTCTCTCAACACTATGTGAAGAAGAAATCTCTCTGTTTTATTCCCCTGCGACCGTTGCCTGCGAGTAACGTTTCTCTTTAATAGGTTTGTGACACAAGCTCGGTAGATAGTATGGAGTAATCTTCTTGTGATCGAAGTAATTTGTGATATCTTGCATTTATCTCATATGTCATTTGTTTGGAAATGTACTGAGACCTTTCTCAGTCTGAACTTTGAACTATTTTTTCAGACTTGACCTTTTTTTATCAGGAAAATCGTTTTGCATCATCAGTAGATGCTTCTCAAATTCGATAAGGTTTTTGTCAGTAAATCCTCTACCATGACCGTGTTCGAGAGATGAAATTTGACAGTAGTGGACGATAAGTAATTTTGTTCTTTCAAAACTTATCCTTGTCATGTATTCTGATCTTTGTTTCATTGTTGCAGTATGGCTGCCCTTTGCTGCTGCTGTGTATTGGAGGAGTGCTGCTGCTTCTGAAACAGGCAGAACGTACCCCTAGTTTCCAAGCTCTGGAATGAAATCCCTGCTCCTATGTTTTCATAGTCTATATACTTGTTACTCGCTTAGCCGGGGAAAAAGTATATTGTTGTTTTTTATGTTATTGTAACCATTAGTAAAGGACCTGTAGATCTTGAAAAAAAACTGCATGGTAATGTTTAGAGACATGGTTTAAAGCACAGTTATGTGTAAATATGATCTTTTAATCTTTGTGGGTAGGTATTTGAGGTACCGGTGATTATATTGATACAATGTTTCGATTGCACTGATTTAAAATTGGTTATGAGATGTGTGCATAAGAAGAAAGGACTGGTCATGAACTTGATACACAAAATGGATAAAAGGAGCTGTCATCAACTGGAAGATCAATCTATTCATCCGGTTGGTTGAAGCATAAGCTTTATCTTGATCAATATGCTTTATAAAGAAGAAAAAGGTCTGCGGTGAAAAATGTTGCTTGGTTTTGTAGAGGATTTGATGGGGGAAGGCGAGGTGACAGAAGCTGCAATGAGGTTGAGGGATGGACATCTCTTTAAGCCTTCATATTTGGTTGAAGGAGAGGAGAGGAACGCTGGTTGAAGGAGAGGAGAGGAACGCTTTATAAAGAAGAAAAAGGTCTGCGGTGAAAAATGTTGCTTGGTTTTGTAGAGGATTTGATGGGGGAAGGCGAGGTGACAGAAGCTGCAATGAGGTTGAGGGATGGACATCTCGTTAAGCCTTCATATTTGGTTGAAGGAGAAGAGAGGAAAAGGGAGATGCATACTTTTATATTTATTTTCTATATCCTCTTATGTCCTCCCAATTTAAAGGTATTCTTCTTTCTCTAATTTTTTTTTAATTCATTTTGGGGTGTCTCTCTCCTCCCCTCTAAAATTCCTCCACGAAAGGCAATTTATTTTTGGACAAATTTAAAAATCAACCCATTTTCAAACTTATTCATCAAAAACGACATATTTGAAACTTATTTGCCACAAGCGACACAGTTTTAGCCAGTTTGGATCGTTTTTGGTGAAAAAAATACCAAACTTTACGAGACTTCAAGTCCCGTGAAGTTTTTTACATAACAAATCTTTACGGGATTGAACTCCCATAAGGTTTTGTATTTTTTTTGCCAAAAACGACCTTGTTTCAACCAGTTGGCTGAAACTGGGTTGTTTTTGGCAAATAAGTTTCAAAGAGGTCGTTTTTTATAATTATTTTTGGAAATGAGTTGTTTTTCAAAATCTGTCCTTTATTTCTCATCCCTTCCCTCCGTTTACCTTCCCTCCTACCAAATCAAGCTTCTGGAATGGTACATCAATAGGTAAAGAATTTTCAAATCAATACCATACTCAAGACCCTCAAGGCTTGCACAGAGACCACTAGATAGTTTCTAGTAAAGCGGAGAGCTGCCAGAAAATTTTAAATGAGCAATTCGCGCAACACAAAGAGCTGACAAAACCTAAATGTTAATTAGAGTCAAGTATCACAAAAACCCAACCTCCAACTTTGGACGATCATCAGTTAACTCCAATTAGCTTTCAAAACATCATAAAACCCCCCTTTAAGTTTAGGGGTTATTAGGAAACCCCGTTTTAAATCTCAGCCTTTATCAAAATAGCGCCCCATCGCAACCCCTCTCACATGAAAGTGAGAAGCGTAAATTTTCACAGGAAAAATCGTCTCCCTGCATTATTTCACCCACTCATGTGAAAAACAACAACTAACGCTATTAGAAGGGTTTCTGATAACTATAAACTTAAAAAATGGGTTTTATGATATTTTGAAAGTTAAGGGGTTATCACGTAATCTTCTTCTTCTTCTTTTTTTTTTTTATTTGGGGTAGCTGGGCAGGGATGATTTCAGCAAAAGGGATAAGGACCAAAAGATAAAATGGGACACGCTGCGATATAAGCATAGAAAAAGTACGAAAGTGATGATGCTACCCACAAAAAGGGAAAACAATTCAAAATGAGAGCAGTTGCGCCACTTTTAGACAACCTAGTGCCCTTCATCCTCAAATGCTTAATTAAATGCCTAAAATGAGTACATAAATCTTATAATAATGCTAAAAAAGAGAACACAAATCTTATCAGAGCACTTGCATGCATGCAAGTGAGCAGGGTACTGTGAATAGAAATACCGAGAAATATTTCATAAAGACCGCAAATGTTTAGGTTTCCAGGGAAAGAAATTACATCAACTAGCTTCCTTCAGTCCGAAAAACAAATAAACTAAAGACTACATAAAACAACATCCAACAGGAAACAAACACTGTCAAATCCCCGAATCGAACTCTAGCCGCACCAAAATTTTCTACAAAGTCCACACAAAATCCGGCGCATCCTCTCTAGGCCCTGCCAACGTGCGGTAAACATACATCTTCTTCGCCTTTGCCTTCTGAATATCGCCAACAACCTCATCCGTCTCGTCATCCCCATCGTCCTCCCCTTCGTTCATCACCTCAACGTTGAGCATCGGCATTTTTGAAGCTAAAAACTTGCAACCCCCTAAAGTAACATCACAAGCCGACATCCAAAGGGATCGCATTGTCTCATACTTCCCTACATCCTCAAGAACCGCTGCGTCCCCAAATGGGCTATCCCTAATCTCAAGCTTTCTCAAATTCTTGCATCCGTTGAGCACATACACCATTCCTTTATCACTGTCGCCTGCAAAGGCAACTGAAAGCATCTCAAGCTTTTCTGCGTACATTCCAATATACAAGAAGACTTTGTCGGTTAGAAGGCCAGAGAGTGAGAGTCTCCTTAGACTCTTGCAAGATTGGACGATGGCTCCAAACCCCTCATCTAATGGTTGGTGAGTAACCGGGTCGGGTTTCTTTGGATCAAGGATGCATAGCCTGAAGCGTATGAAATTAGGGCAGTTTTTGGCGACGGTTTCAAGTGCAGCATTTGTCATTTGATCGCAAAAGTAGAGCAAAGAGTTCAGTTTTGAGCAACCAGAAGATACTGAAACCAACCCTTCTTCTGTTACCGCGGCGTTACCAACGCCCAATGGAAATACCCTCAGTTCTTGCAACTCTTTACAGGTAGTAGCAACAACGGCTAATCCTTTGTCCCCGATGCTATCCAAAACCTAAAGAGAGATTTCATTATGTTGTTAGTTGCACGAAATTAAACACAAATGCATCATTTAAGTATGCTCTTTAATTGTAGGAAAGTGTTTCCAAATGAAAATCCTGGGTTTGGTTAGTCACAATCATTGTGGGATATGCATCTTTCGTTACAGGAAGGTATTTTCATTGCAAATCAAGTGTTTATTTTGCTGCAATTGCAAAAATGATGCACATTTTAGGAGTTGTACTATACTAACTTGATGAAATAATATACTTTTTTCATTTTTTGTATGTAATGGAATTAACTGTAGCATTTGATACAAAATGTAAATCCAATTCCCATTTCCAACTATCATGTTGCTAACCAAACAGTCAAAATAGAAATTTGACTGCAGAATTTGGTGCGCTCCCTAAGCTGAGTATATTTGGAAATAAAAGACTTTAATTACCCAAAGCCGTTGAAGCTTGTGACACTGGCGAATGAGCTTGATAAGATCTGCACCCTGGATTGCCGGAGCATAGCTCAAGTTTAGCGACGTGAGCTTCCAACAAATAGGATAGACTGCCAACAAGCATCGAGGAGAGGCATCCCAAAACCCGGACAAGCTACGAATGGACTTGCACTTAATAAAAGCATTTAAGAGCCTATGATAAGCTTCAGAGCGGTGATCAAGAGTGAAAGAGCCGGTGCCTAAGTCAACAAGCTGAGGAGCTTTTAGAAGGATCTTGGAGAGAGTTTCGGTGGATACTGCTCGATTAAGCCTCAAGCTTTTGAGGTTGGGGGATCTTGCGATGAGCCTCTCAAGAGATGCAGCATTTACTTCCCCTTTTAGGCAGGCAAAGTTAAGGGAAACAAGGGAAGTGCAGGAATCAGGAAAGCAAGTGAGCCATTTTGGCCCATGATCCTCTACCTCATTTTCCTGCAAGTCCAGCTCCCTAAGGTACCTAGAGTGCATTTACAAAGAGGGGGAAAATTTAGTTCTCAAGAAACATTTCATTTTCGGTTCCAAAGATGTAAGTAATAGTTAGAAATACAGTCATTGCAACACGTGAACAAAGAGTGACTTTTAAGTGACAAAAAGAAGAAGAAGAAGAAGCACTGCTACAAGTACCACAATTAGTACAAAGGTTGTATTGTATAAAGAAATTTGATCCCCTATTGCACATGTTGTAGCGGAAAAGGGAGAAGTAGGCAAATCATATATCAACTGACGTCACACTCAAGCTCCCTGCTCAAGTTTCAGTTCATTCAGAAATAGCGAAACGTAGATGTCATAGCACCAAGAGAAGCAAAATACAACATGGTGAAAATATGTAGAAAGATTAAAGTTTGAATATAGACATCAGACGAAATCCACTAATAGTTAAGTAGACGTTTTTGAGTGAAACAAGAGACATATCATCTAAATTATAAGAGGGCTTTCATATATTATCACTTCATTTACTGTGTTCGCCACATGCTTACTCTGAATAAGTAAGTAAAACCAACAGAAAACTGCAGGCAAACCAAATTGCAAGTTAAAAAAAAATCACAGATGTGACATGTAAACCCAAAAAATATTATGAAAAAGATAAATTAAAAAATCTGAATTTTGAATCAACATCTTCATCATAAGTCTATAATGTCTAGAAAAATTTACAAACTGTTTAGGTTTGGTTACGATAGTGTTATGCTCATGTAAAAGAGGCACCTCTTTCACATATATTGAAGCACAATGGATTCTTTAAGAAGCAATAGGATTTCAACACAATCTTTTGGATGATCAAAACACGATGTGGCTCCTCTGTGTCTAATAAACTATTGTGACATGGAAGTGCGATTTCTTCTATGCGAAATTGCTCGTGCATCCTAGCATGAAGACGCGCTAATTTTGTTGTTTTTAACAAAACATTGGTTCATGCAGTACTACAAATAACTGTTAGAATGCTAGAGTCAAATTAATATCTTATGGGTCTAATTTTTACAACAATAACAAGGGAAAAAAGCAGCTAACTAAATAATGAATTAAGTGAGAGTAGCTAAGAATAATTTAATTCTGTTCTACTCAGTTAAAAACTGCACAATAACAGGAGACACCCAAATATCAGTACTTGATTTATGTACTTATATGCAAAAACTGAATTCATCCAAATTATCAGAAGAATAGATAGCATACAACATCTAGCGATTTACCATGAGACTATAAAACAACATACATAAAGACTCTTTTCAACTAAAACACTACAATAGCAAAGAGAAGCAAAAAATCTTGAAAGAAAATAGTACATAATGCATCGTATAACTCATCCAATTTAATTCATGCAGATTGGAAGCACACAATATACAAAAAAGTACCAACATCTCTATCATGATTAGACATTTTATTCAATCCAAAATGTGAACAGAAATATCAATCCAAACTCATGACAAAGAAAACAAAGGAAGCAGCAATCTCACCTGCAATGAGTCGCAATTGAGGCAAGCCCATCAGTGCTGAACCCTTCACAACTATCAAGCACAAGAGCCTTAAAATTAGGAAACGAGAGAGCAAGGAGCTTAAGATTCTCGTCAGAAACCACCATCCTCTTCAACCTCAGCTCCTCCAATCCCGGGCACTGCCTTACCGCCGCCTCAATCCAGGGCCCCGCAAACCCTCCCCATCCATGCGGGACCATGTTGAAGTCCGCGAAATGCGGTTTCCCCTTCACACTCAATGATTTCACCTCCGGAAATCTCTCCATTGCCCTCTCAGGCCTCACCGAATAACAATTCCCAATGAAAACCGATCTCCGGCTAAGCCTCTCAATCTTGTACCAAATCTTGCAGACCACCGAGACCGCATTCCGGTCCCGGTGGGATTCGAGGAAGGAGAAGATGTGCTCAACCACCTCTTCAGGGAAGTAAGTCATGACAGTTGAAAATGGCATGGAGACTCAATTCTTTCTAGGGCTAGGGGGTATGAGACAGCAGTATTTGCTCAGATCTAAAGCTAGATTCCTTTCGGGAAGAAAAAAAAAAGCAGGAGATCGTCAGCCCACCCACCAACAATCGCAGAACAATTATCAAAAAACAGCAAGAGAACCCGTTATCTCTACCTGAACCCGTTTGAGAATTTACGCATGATCATAATCTCAACCCCACAGCTCGTCCCTCCTCAAATAATGCAAAAGACGCAAATCATTTGGAAGAAATCACCCAGATCATACCATAAATATCAATCAAAACCCCAACTTTCTCCCCACCCAAGTGAGCAAAGATCCTGAAACCCCCTAAAACCACTAAAAGGAAGCATCTTTCCAATTAGATCTGATCTGGGTCCAGGCTCAGTTGCAAACTTTACCCAAAAAAATAAAAAAAAACTAACAGAAAAAAAATCAGGAAAATTTAGAGAAAACAGCAAGAGGCCGAGATCGGAACAAATTTACCGAAATGGAGTACGTATCTAGAGATCTCAGCTGAAGAGAGAGAAGACCATCACCCCCCCTCCCATACCCTTTCTCTCTCCTCTCCGCCTCCTCCCCTTCCTCCTCTATTATTATTGTACCGACCCTCCGTACGTAACCAGGGTTAGTTTAACCCAACAACAGTTAGATGAATCAACGGTCGAGATCGCGTGGGGGCTGGAGCGGGCGAATCTAAACCGTTTACTGCTGATACGCTGGTCGTCGTATGCACGCGTCCTTGTCGAGTTGCGGATAAGAGCACGGAAGCGAAGAAAAGAAAATGGTGGGAAATTGTGGCTGGTGTTTGAGAAGAGGACACTTGAGTTGTGAGTTGGGTGAAATTACGGGTGGTGCCACTTGTTATGGAGCTTTGATCAGTAACGGAGTCATCATAAGTTTTTAATGATTAGATGCAACAGACTGAACAGAGCTCTAACTTTTTTTTTTTGTTTTTTTTTTGACCTTTTTCTTTTTCCTCCACCTTTTTTTTTACTTTTTTCTTATTACTACCACCTTTGCTCTTTCTTATTTGGCTTGGGGAAGATTTTGTGCGGCTACAAAAACAAACTAAACCAAACCAAGATCCAAAAAATTTATACAGAGCATTTTAGATAGAAAATCATAGAGAGAGAGAGAGAAAAAGAGGATATTAGCATTTACAGGGAGGTCTGTATGTACTTAACGCCCGTTGGTAAATGAAAATAAAAAAATCTATTGACCAAAAAGAGGATTTTAGACAGAAAATCATAAGCTAAAATATCATATTGGTATTAAAAGTAGATAATGTATACCTGTTTGGTATTAAAAATTACTCCGGAGTCATTTTGGTATTAAAACCAAACAACTTTTACCTGTTTGATGCTAAATCTCATCGACGATGAATTTTTTCCTGCAAGACCACAATTTTTTGCTAGGGATATTTTTTTTCACCTCGTGACCTTTAAAATTATTATATTTTACATCTTTCTTCTCATTCCCCAAACTCAAATTTCTTCTACCCCTTCACCAACAAGCTCCTCCTTCATTCTCACTTTCTCTCTCTTTCTTAATAGAGCCCCCTCTTCTTCTTCAACCTCTCCCGATTCAAACCCAAACTCTAATAGATCTCTCTCATCATTTGAATTAAGGATTTGTGTTTGAATTGAATTTCAAGAAGAACTGGGGTTTTCATTAATGAGAGACAAAGAGAATGCGGGTCTTATTGGGTAAAGGGGAAGATGAAATTTGAATTTGGAGAGGTTGAAGGAGAAAAATGGTGTAGAATATGATGACTTTAACAGGTCAAGTGAAAAAGAAAATTTTTAGGCGAAAAACTATAATTTCCGTCAAAAAAATTCACCACTGAAAAGTGTTGGTCTTGAAAGTGGAGACCCAAACTTAGAATCAAAATCAACAATGACATGAAAATTCAAGACAGGTCATGGGTGTGGTCTGCGCCACACCAGGATGTGGCAGAATCTGCTCTGCCTGCCATGGGTATGGTCTGCGCCACACCAGAGTGTGGCAGAGTCTGTCCTGTCTGTCATGGGTGTGGTCTGCGCCACACCAGGGTGTGGCAGAGTCTGCCCTGTCTGTCATGGGTGTGGTCTGCGCCACACCAGGGTGTGGCAGACTCGTTTTAGAATCCTAATCTGCTTGGGATAGTGTTTTGTTATAAATAGAAACACGTCCCTTTAGGGTTTAAGAGAGAAAAAGAGCACGAAAAAAAAGGGTTTTGAGGGCTCTTTGAGGTTAGAAATCTTAGAGAGAGAGAGGCCAATTGCAAGCATTGTAATCTTCTTCAAGTAATCAAAGAATTGTGTGGTGTGGCTCCTGAGAACGTAGGCACGTTGCCGAACCTCGTTAAATCTGATGTGTTCTTTCTTATTTACTTAATTTCCTACAAGTTTTTATCTTTGATTTGTGGTAAATTTCTTTCTTGCTCAACTCTCAAACACAAGATCCGGAAGGGTACGGATTTGATTTGATTATTTCAAATTTCTAACAACTGATATCAAAGCTTCGTTCAGCAATTTGTGTGAAAGTCATAGCAGAGGAAAATAAATCAAAGATCGAGAAGTTTGACGGTTCAGATTTCACCTACTGAAAGTCGCAGATGAAGGACTATCTGTACCAGAAGGACTTGTATCGCCCGTTGATAGGCAAGGAAAAGGGAAAGAAGAAGGAGGAGTCAGATGGTGATTGGGAGATACTAGATAAGAAGGCTCTAGGGCAAATACGGTTGTCACTCGTCAAATCAGTAGCCCATAATATTTTGAAGGAGAAGACGACGGTGGGGCTTATGAAAGTGCTCGCAAAGATATACGAGCAACCGTCGGCAGCAAACAAGGTGCATCTCGTCAAAACTCTTTTCAACCTCAAGATGGCAGAAGGACGGTCTTTCACGATGCACCTCAGCGAGTTCAACACGATTGTTGATCAGCTTATCTCCGTGGACATCATGTTTGATGAAGTGCAAGCCCTATTGATTCTATCGTAGTTACCAGATAGTTGGGCACGTTGTGTGATGGCAATCAGCAATTCGACGGGGAAGGAGAGTTGAAGCTGAGTGAGGTTGTTAGCATGATTCTATCCTAGGAGGTTAGAAGGAAATCGTCCGAATCAGAAGGTTCAGGTTCAGCTCTAAACTTCGAACAGAGAGGCAGAAGCCAGAAGAAAGGAAATCAGAACAGGAATCGGTCGAAATCAGTGAAGAAGAGGCCAAACTTGAAGGTTAGGTCTATCAAAGGGAAATGTTAGAATTGCGGCCAGAAGGGCCATATGTCTTCGGTCTGTAAAAGTCCAAAGAGGGATGTGGTTGAGCAGGAGGCTCATATCGTGCAGGATGCATTGATCCTTGCTATGGATAGCGACTCAGATTCTTGGGTCATCGATTCAGGAGCCTCTTTCCACGCCACTGCTAACAGGAAACTCTTTCAGAATTATGTAGCAGGGGACTTTGGAAAAGTATATTTGGGGAATAATGAGCCCTATAATATTGTTGGAAAGGGTGAAGTACAGATTCAGATGAAGGACTCTAAGTGGACCTTGAAGAACGTGAGACACATACCAAAGCTGAAAAGGAATCTTATTTCGGTGGGATAGCTTGGAGCAGAAGGCTATGTTTTAACATTCACAGGGGATTCATGAAGAATCTTCAACGGTATGATGATAGTTACTCGAGGAAACAAGTTAGGAACTCTCTACCTCACCTTACATGCGAGTGACACCCTCACAATTACAGCTGACAAAGAGAGTATAGATCTGTGGCATAACAGGCTAGGGCACATGAGCGAGAAGGGGATGAAGATTTTGCATTCCAAAGAAAGCTAACCGGGATTGACACCGTGGAAGTCGGGGTTTGTGAAGACTGTATCTTTGGGAAGCAGAAGAGGGTTAGTTTTCAGAAGGGTGGAAGACCACCTAAGGCTCAGAAGCTAGAGTTGATTCATACAGATGTATGGGGTCTAGCCAGTGTGTCTTCTTTTGGTGGTTCGAGATATTATGTCACCTTCATCGACGATCACTCGAGGAAGGTGTGGATCTACTTCATGAAGCACAAGTCAGAGGTGTTTGGAATCTTCAAGAAGTGGAAGACTATGGTGGAGAACGAGATAGATCTAAAGGTGAAATGTCTGAGATCAGACAATGGTGGAGAATACGAGCTGGAGGAGTTCAAGAGAGTCTATGCTACGAATAGTATTAGCTTAGAGAGGACTACTCCAGGGACACCGCAGCAGAACGGCATTGCGGAGAGGATGAATAGGACCTTGACAGAGCGTGCCAGGAGCTTGTGATTACATGCAGGTCTGCCTAAGACATTTTGGACGGATGCGGTGTATACGACAGCTTACCTTATTAATCACGGGCCATCAATTCCATTGGATTTTAGGATTCTAGAAGAGGTTTGGAGTGGAAAGAAGATAAATCTCTCATACTTGCGGGTATTTGGTTGCGTGGCTTATGTTCATATTAGTGACCATGTCAGAGACAAGCTAGAAGCTAAGTCACAGAAGTTCACATTCATTAGATACGACATTGATGAGTTCGGGTATCGTCTTTGGGATGAGAAGAACAGGAAGATCATCAGAAGCAGGGACGTGATAATCAATTAGGAGGTGATGTACAAGAATAGGGAAAATGCCAAGGATAGCCAAAGCAGTGGGAGCAGCATTACGAATACAGGTAGATCCGAGTACATGGATTTAAAGGAACTTCCAGATAGGGGTGATAATGTTTATTCTGATCAGATAATGAAGAATGCTCCAGGTGCAGAAGAAACTACCCAGAGCGTGGAGCTTAGGAGGTCATCCAGGGTACCCAAACCAAATCCCAGACATCTTTCATCTATTGACTATCTATTGTTGACAGATAGCGGTGAGCCGGGGTGCTATGAAGAGGCAATGCAAGTGAATGAATCTCAGCAGTGGGAGCATGCTATGCAGGATGAGATGGATTCTCTACTCACTAATGAGACATGAGAGTTAGCCCAGCTACCTGCACAGAAGAAATCCTTACATAACAAATGGGTCTACCGGGTCAAGCAGGAGAGTGATAAAAGTAAGAGATTCAATGCCAGATTAGTAGTGCAGGGGTTTTAACAGTGGGAAGGAGTGGACTACACGAAGATATTTTTTCCTGTTGTGAAACTCATAACCATCAAAGTGGTGTTGAGTTTGGTAGCTGCAGAAGACCTCTTTCTTGAGCAGTTAGATGTGAAGACTGTCTTTATTCATGGTGTCTTGGATGAAGAAATCTACATGAAGCAGTCTGTTGGTTTCATTGAAGAAGGAAATGAAGAGATGGTGTGCAAGCTCAAGAAGAGCTTATATGGTTTGAAACAGGCTCCGAGACAGTGGTATAAGAAGTTTGATAACTTCATGCAGAACAATGGCTACAGAAGATGCAATTCGGATCATTGCTGTTATTTCAAAAGGTTCGAGTCCAACTTTATTATTTTGTTATTATATGTTGATGATATGTTGGTAGCAGGACCATGTTTAGAGGAGATAAATAGTTTGAAGAAGCAGGTAGCAAAAGAGTTTGCAATGAAGGATCTGGGTGCAACGAAGCAGATT